CGCAACCATGGTTGAGTCACCCCGTGTTCCCGGGCTAATGTGGCAGGTGCGCTGCTGGCCCCGCTGCTCAGGACCGCTCGGGCAGGGATCTCTCCAAAACCCGAATCTCCACCCTCCTGGGCCAAAACAGAAGCAGGCAGAGGAGGACATCGGGGAGCGGCTGTGTGAGCCGGTTTGCAAAGGAAAAGCCAAAGCTGTACAGGCCATCCCTAACTGTTGCGCAGGGAGGCAGATTTTCGCTGGCGGGGACACAGCAGGGTGACGGCAGGAGGGGACAGTGATAGCCATAACATATGCCAGCGCTGGAGCAGGTCAGCGGAGACCTGCCATCGCCTAAGGGCTGCCAAAAGTGATTTTCTTTGGAAAGACACTTTGCAAACAGGGCTGGTTTCCCATGGAGGGGGGCTGCAACAGAGAGCCAAACAGCACACGGGGGGAATGCTGTGTCCCCAGGCCTGACCGTGGAGGTGGTCCTTGCCCATCCAATGCGCCTTTGGGCAGGGGCTTGTGTTGGTCCCCTCCCCAGCATCCACAGTGTGTCCCTTCAGCTTGTCATCAAACCGAGGAGCGATGCAGGAGGCCGGGGAGCCCCTGTCCTGCAACAGCAGGCGGCAAACACAGGCTCTGGGTGCTCAGCACGCTCCACCCTGCGCCTGGCTCCCCCAAAACCCCACAGCAAATTCCCTGCCTGGCCATAATGATACATTTCAGCAAGATGAAGTCAGCCCCCTTGGGCTCCAGCCAAAGCCTTCATTTGGGGGAAGCCCTCAACCCTCCCAGGCACCCTGGGTATTAATGCAACCTGTGCTGGAGCCGGAGCTTTAACCCTTTCCGCCTCGCTGCATCCCCAGCCCTTCCCTGCCCATGCACTGCTGCCACGAAGCCACTCAGAGTGAGGGGCTGAGCCTTCATCCCTCTCCAGAAGGGGGACCTCTGCCCCCTAAATGCGAAGGAAGACCCCATTATATTGCCCCTCTCCCAAAAGTTGCCCCATTCCAGCCTGACCCTATTAGTTGCACGCAATCCCCCCACCCCAAAAATAATTTTTGGCAAAGACGTAAATACTCGCTGTCATTCCCAATCGTTCCCAGCCACAGGGAAAACCAAAGGACAAGCTATGGGCTGCTCCACTCGCCTCCCCAGCACCTGGCGCTGCAGCCTGGGGTTTGGCTGCTCCCCAGCGTCACCCACCCGAGCCCCATTAGGGAGCCAGGGCTGGATTTTCTGGCTCTCCAGGAAGGCCTGGCCTGACCATGGCAGGACGAGCCCGGTGACATTCCCGCATCCCTCCTGCCTGGCAGGGCCCTGCCACCTCCCCACTGTCCCCATCCCACACGCAGCCTGGCTGGACCCCGAACATCCCCTTCCCTGGAGCGCGGGGATGCCTCTCACTGGGGCGTGGGTAGCACAGCTCCTCCCCAGTGACCTGGCCCTGGGGAGCTGAGAGCAGGAAAGTGGCCATAAGCAGTCACCCCCGAGGTCCTCTGTCCCCAGCCTGGCTGCTAGCCCATGCCTGGGGGAGCGCAGGAGCCAGGCACATGTCTGCTGTCAGGATCCGTCCATGGTGTCTGCACCTTGCACCCCTCGCTGGGCCTTTCTTCAAGGAAAAGCTGCAAGCTCTGCTCCCAGCCTCATGCCTCTTCTAGCTCACGTTCACATTTTGAGCGTTCAAGTGCTGAATTTCCACCCTGCTGATGATCCTGGGCCTTGGCATCCTCTGGCTAATGGCCGGGCTCACTGCCGGCACGGCCTCCCCTGCGTCGGGACCCTTCTACCCAGGGCTCCAGCAAGGCAGTGCAGGCAGCTGCCGCGTGCTCCGAGGAGGCATTTCGGAGCAGCCATCCACTCATCTCTACAGGCAAATTAGGCTGTGATGCTAATAAAGCATCTGCTTAGGAATAGGTGGGGGGGAACCTAAACTGGCATCTCACACCCAGCGGGGCACGGGGCGCCCCGGCAGCCCTTCGGCCAGCAGGGCTTGCTGGAGCCTGCTCAGCCCCCTGCATGAATTAGCAAATGCTAACGAGCCTGAGCAATCTGCTAGCGAGGAGGCCAGGTGGGTACTGAGCCAGGCTCGCTTGGCTTAATGCCATCCACAGGGACTCAGCTGGGCACAGGGGATGTGTGTGTGTGTGTGTGTGTCCGTGCCTCAGTTTCCCTCCTGGTAAAGCATCGGGTAACAAGCCCCGAGCAGGGCCAGCCATGGAGACCAGACCAGATCAGGACTGATGGGATTTCGGGGTAGCCCCAGCCAGGTAAGCCCCTTGCAAAGGGCTTTCACCTGTGTGTTTTGGGCTGGCAGCATCTGTCCAGCTGTCTGTCCGACATCCAGTTGCCTGGAGAGTGGTGGATGGATGGACACACTGCAGTGTGCCAGAGATGAACCTGGCTTCGGATTTGCAGATGGAACTTAATGAATGTTGCAAATTTGTTCTGAATTCATCACTTCCCGCCTCCTGCTGGGGAGAAATAAAAATCTACAGGAGCCAAAAGTTTTTGACATCTTGAAAACGAAATATTTCAGTTCTCAGCTTCAGAAGGACTCAAAGCATTTTGGCTGGAGAACTGGGGAAATCACTGATTCCCCCACTCTGGGAGGGACCGGGCAGTAGGACCACACCGATTTTGCCGTGGCTGCAGCTTCCGCTTCAGGAGAATGCTCCCAATTTCCGTGGCCATGTACAAAACCACAGCTTGAGTCCAAAAAACGAGAGCTGCCCCATCATGGTGCCATGATCTGTGCCATGCAGGGCCCGGGGTGTAAATACGGGGGTGATAAGCAGGGACTGCAAGCACGCCCCAGCAGGGCATCCCCCAGCATGAGTCCCTCAGGGTAAAGGATCTGGCCCTGCGCCTTGTGTAGCTGATTTTAATCATGATGCTGTTTCTAGCTGTGTGTTAATAATGCAATTAAAGAGGGGCTTGATGACATCTCCCTGCCTGTGTATTGGGCTGAGCTTCTTTCCATGCATGTACCCCCTGCAGCGAGTCCCCCCCGTGCCTGCCCTGCCGCTGGCTGCCTGCCCACGCCCCTCCAGATAACATTTTCTTGTTTCTCACATGTGTCCAGGCCAGCAAATCCCTCCCAAATTAATTAACAAGGGCCATGCCGAGGCGCCAGCTGCTATAAAGCCAAGCCTGGTGGGTTCAGGGATGCTGAGGGCTGCACCGTGGGGTCGCATCAGGACAACCCCGTGCCTGAGCACTGATGCTCTGGGGGCTGCTGCAGGTGAGGCCGGGCTGCAAAGCCTTCACCGTTGTCTTGCCAGTGAGGATGGCCAGGGCCGCCTGGATGATGGAGCTTTCTCCTGCCACGGGTTGGGGTGCGGGACCTGGCCCAGCTCGGTGCTCGGTGCTGGGGTACACTGGTGCCCGCTGCCCAGGGAGGCAGCATTGAGGGGCCGTCGGTCCCTGATGCTGTGCCGGGATGCCCTTCCTGGCATGGCGGTCTCTCTCCTGGCACCCGCTCCAGCAGCTCCTGGCAACGCGCTCCGGCAGCTCCTGGCACCTGCCGTGCTGTGAAGTTTCAACCCTGTAGAGAGGCGCAGGAAAGAGCCCCAGCGCCAGCCTCGGGCAATGCCCCGAGCCTTTCCTTATGTTCCTCGGGTTTTTTCCAGCATCTCCTTCCCCAGGTCGGGGGTACCCCCAGCCCAGCCAGGCAGCTCGGTGGCAGTGGCAGAGCGTGGCTGTAGGAGCGAGTGGCTCCCGGCTGCCCGCAGGCACCGCACTGGGAGGTTGTTTGAAGAAGCACTTGGCTCTTCCTAAAACAAAACCCACAGAGGCCAGAGCTCACTCCTGGGCACCCTGGGAGAAAACCAAGAGAGACCAAGTCTTCCTGCTCCTAAAGAGAAGAGAAAGCAAAGCATGGCCCCCTCCAAAGGGGGGAAACAGAGATGAAACCAAGCCGACTCCAAAATGTCAGTGGAAATCAAACATCATTTCTCTCTGATTTCTCCAGCTGGGAAAGGCTCAGCCCGGTTTCACAGCCTCACTTACTCCAGCCGGGCATATTAACAACTCTATTTATGCTCTATTTATTCACAGCCGTGTGGCTAACGTCCCCTGGCCGCTGCCGGGAAGCACGAGGTGAGCACGGACAGCTCTCGGGGCTGGGTGGGATGGCGCTGGGCAGCCCCCGAAGCAAAGAGGGGAACAGCGGGGCTGCCCCTGTTGCTTTGGGAAGGCCAGGATGGGCAGCTGAGGCGGGTGCCTGCCAAGCATCCCCTTGAGATGCTCCCACCAAGGGCTGTCCCTCCAGCCAGGAGGGGAGAGGGGCCTGCAGCAGGGCATGGAGACCCCAGCAAGGACACACGTCGCTCTCCCCA